ATAAATGGTATTCGATTGAATTACAATTTTATATCTGAGTAATTACCTACAATGTAAATCGTGTAAGTAACATAGTATCAAAGCTACACTATAAATTACAAATAAAAAATATTCTAGCGTATCACACTTGTTGTGTTTTGTTAAATATAATTCCTAATGGGTATTATTCGTTCACTTACTTTATTTAATTATCCTTGTACGCCTTATTTTTATATACACGAGTTTTATTTTTAAACTCGGCGTAGAAGTATAATTTTTGGCCGACTCAACCGTTTAAATCAATTCAATGTCATGTTACAGTAAATACACCAACGAGCCGACTATTATGTAAAGCAAATTATAAATTCACACATACATGGCAACAGAGTTACATATATATATATTTATGTGTATGTATACCTGACGACCATTACAAACAGACTATTTTTGATTATTCCCTTCGCACACCAATCTATTCTATGAGTACACCAACTTTTATCTGCCATAATTGTAATGAAACGAAGTTTTGTAGGAAAGGTTAATTATTTTTCTATTTATTTGCTTATACATTCAAAAGTCATCAGAACATTAATTGAAGACCGAAAAGATGGACAAATAAAATGTACCTACAATTAAATTACCAACCAAAATATTCAAGGGAATTAGAACTTTTTGATGAAAAAAATTAGAATTAGAATTATTTTTACTCGACTATTTAAGCTTAAAATCAAAGCATTCGTCCTTTATTAATAAAATATTTTTAATTAGTTATAATATAAAATTTATTTTATGGGTCTTATATTATATTAAAATTAAATAGATACCTAATTATCAATTAACCTACGAATAAAAAGTATACGAAAATTTTTATTGTTGTTCTTATTGTTTCGGAGAACGAATATTGCGCCTTACCTTATCTTAATTTTGTTTTTATGGTTACTCCGTCAAAGGCGGTATCTCTAGTGGCACCAGCTGCGTTGTATTATTTTTAACAAACACACTCAACGTACGAGATATGACACGAAACATCGTTTTGGACAATCAGACTAGGTTCCCTGAAACAATTTTAATCAATAAACTTGCATGAAAACAAAGTCATGATATTGCATCAACCAAGTAAATTCGGTTTCTTTTTGTGATTTACTTAATTTTCTTTTCGTACCGCCTACATTTCGCGTTAAAAATAAAACAACATTTGATTCATTTCGTTTTTTATGCGTAAATGGGTCCCAAAGATACTTAAATTACATTCAAACGAAATTAATAAGAAAAAAATTAAATAATCAAAGGATCACGGATTTTCCGGGACGAATTTCTGCTTGTATTACTGGTCAAAATGCAAATTGTGCACTCGAATCCGTCATCACTTTACTACCCGCATCACATAGTATGTAAAAAAAAAAAATTAGGAAAAAAATAAGAATATCAAAATATAAGAAAATCCCCTTATACGTGACTGTGTCCAATAAATTATGTTAACATTCATACGGTATCTATATTATTATGGACAAATTACGCATGTACGTGTTCTGTATGATCGACTACTACATCTGCTTGAGCTACGTTGGTTTTAGAAAAAAGTTGCGACGGCTGTAATTTATAACGCCTGGATAGCAGTTGTCAAAATGTCTTGTTTAATTTTATATCATTAAGTCGATCCCTAAATACGCATTTATTTATTCGCTAATTTGACAAAACGCATATTATCTTATTCGAACAGAATACATTTTTGTTTATTCGTGGAAAAAATATTTAATACAACATAATATTCAAACGAATCATCGATTCATATTGACAACTAAGTCGGGTACGTGTCGATGTATAAATCTAGAGACATTTATTATTTTAATATTCTAAAAACGATTCAAAGAAAAATTGTTTTTGTAGGTATTCGATTTAGTTAATACATAATAAATTGTACATCATGCAACTTACAGAGTACTTTTCCTATCTTTAAAATTGTAAAGCCAAGTAAATGTATAAAGTCTATTATACGTACTTGTAAAACAAATTATGTATTTCTCGTTTCGCTCAAAGCCTGAAAGTTTTATTCGAATGTGATTAACTAATTTAATACTTAAAACAATTTAAATTATACGATTTAATTTTTAATCAATTTATGATTAACATATAGTTTTTTCACCCATGTATGATGTTGATCATTATTATTTACTTTTTCGATTAGAAAGTTTTCGCATATCTACTAAGTAAATTTAAGATACTTTAAACAGTAAATACTACCAAAATAATTTACATAATGCTTATTGGTAGTTGTACGTAACTTTTGTTTGATGTTTGGTACAATAATAATACATTTTACCTGTACAAAACTAAAAGGTAAAAAAAATCGTCACATTAGAGAACATTGTAATTTAAACTAATAATTAGTCTCATTCATTTCAAAACTTTCGGAGACCTCAAAAAGAAAAACTTTGGAAATGGAATGCATAAGAAATGATAATGTCTTGTATTAATAATTAAAAACCATACCTTATTTAAATATTACCAGATTAACGAAAGAAATGGAATTTATATTTAATTTTTGTCATTAGAAAATTTGTTTGTAAAAAAAAGGTTATTTATACCAATATACTATATACTACCAACTGAATAAATATAATTAATGATTACGTATAAGACATATTTCCATATAAGGACTCTTTAGCATTTTTTTTTTCTTTTTTTTTCATTAGTCTCCGATTTTTTCATTAAGTTCATTTCTCATTTTTGGTTTACTTGAATTCGTATTACATTTAAATCGTCTCCTCTTGGTATAATTTATTTGAACTCTATTTGGCTGACAAATCTTGAATGTAACTGATATTAATGGAAAACATACGCCCATGATTCGATTTTCGTCGTCTAAAACCGTTTGTATGGTACGATCAAAAGTTCGTCATAACATGACTAGGGGGACAAGGGATTTTGTACTTCTTAAAATAACCACAGATTATATTAACTTTTTTTATTACAATCATTAAAGTTTATTTTTTAAATATTAATTCAAACATGATAATCTATTACGATGGGTATAAATTTTTAACCATAAAATCTATATAATAAGGAGTGCAATTTTTTAATAATTTGTCGAAGCATATATAGATTAAGGAGGACAAAGGTGGATTTTAAAAATGTATAAACTTTATACTTATTTTAGGAGAAATATAAAATTTAGATATTCATAATAATTGTTGAAATCTCACCAAAAATTTGATTATTGAATTACAGTAAAAACTCTTTATAACAAAACTCTTTACAATGAAAAACTCTGTATAACATAAATATTACATAATAGTGGTTGGTTAGTTAGTTTTAGTTAGTTATATATACATCTCATTAGTCAATTCATTCTCTATAACGTATTAGTCACTCTCAATAACGAAACAATATTTTATGTTTTATAATACAATTTACATGTTATCGTACTTATTTACATATATAAATTATAAAAATAATCTGCAATAATGCCGAAATTTCCCAGAATAATTACATTCTTTCATTATCTACTTATAATATTGTTACTATCGATATTGAATAGATATGTTCATTTCAAATAAAGAAATAGAATAAAAATTAAATTATATTTAATATGTATAGTAATAATAATAATTTAATATAATACTTAAATATAATAGAATGTAAAAATAATGATGTGTTTGATCTATAATATTACATATGTACATACCTTTATACATAAATAATTAAAATTTTGTTTTTTTTTAAACCCTCTCTATTACGAAAAATTTCTATAACGAAAGAAATCTCTTGGTCCCTTCAGATTCGTTATAAAGAGTTTTTACTGTATATACAATTTAATTGATTGAAAGAAAATAATTTAATTTTTGTATAAATAACCTTACAATACATATCATGTATAGAGTAATACATGATTTAATTTGAAAAAAATTGTATTTTTTCTTCTTATTTGTCATCATTAATTATTCAATTTTAAATATAAATTTCTGTTTTACTTGCTTCTTAAATGTTATTACGGATTCTGACTAAAGTTTCGGTTCTAGCACTATTTAACGGTTTCGGTCCAAAACCAGTCTTTTTTTCTTGGGTTCTAGTCTATGAGTTGAATACGTTTAAAAAAATATCATTCACTCAAATTTCTTTCTGTAACATGTGACTATTTAGTATTAAAATAGTTATAAATTATTGAAATACAATTCTATATACATAATACAATCAAGTCGTGATAACTCGAACCTCGATAACTCAAAAAACTTGACTACTCAAATTGTGTTTTATTCCTCTAGAAAATTCTTCCTCTATAAATTAGTTAGATATCTTGAATAATACATATCTCGAAGTGAATTTTTATCCCCTTTCAACTTCAAGTTATCGCGACTCGACTGCATAAGAAAAAATATTTCATATTCGTTCATAATTTATACTTACACATCATTATATTTTTGATGGATCAGTGTTGTAATAACTTATTAAAAATAAGTAGACTTTTTTTTTTATCGGGGTAAGTAAGTAGTAAATATATGTATCATATTATATTTATATTATACTATCATAAAAAAAGTATGGGCTTTTTTTTCATTATTAAATTTTATGGGCTAGATGTCAGAGTAGATTGTTTTAGTTAGCAAACGATTATACTTTTGTACTACATAGACACACTTTGTATAATCATGGATTAAAAATAGCATGCTGTAATGAATAAAAAACTTAAGGGTACTTATTTCGAAAAGAAATTTTTTTATATGAAATATTATTTCATTGTTAATGTATTATCAAACTTAGCTTAATTTTTAAGATTCAATAACTATGAGCCTATTGTTTTTGACAATATTTTTTCATTATTACAACATAGTTACATGTAACTTAAAATGACGCGCGTTTATCTAATCATTATTATCTGTACAGAACCTATACTAAATATATAGTTCTTCGTTAAACAATTAAGTAAATATGTTTTCGTGATTTTTTTATACAATATTGATAGTAAATATTACAGTTATATGTCATGTTTCTTTAAATATTAATTTTGTTTTTACTTGTTATAGGTGATTTTTGACAGCTGTTTTGGGTAAGTTAACCACAAAAGTTAAATCATTATAAATTTATTAAGTTTCGGTTGGTATATAGGTCTTATATAGGTTAGGTATTTGAATAAAAATTTGATTAGGTCCGAGAGTTAAATATAGATATTCACTATAATTTAAGAATCGAAAAAGTTTTTTTTTTTAATTTATATTTACAATTTATAAATAATAATAGTAATAAGATGTTATAAATGTTTAAAATAACCGAAGAAGTGTATTTATACTTTGTTTTCGAGTACTTATGATATAATTATCGTTATTATCAAATTATAGAAAATATAATATGATCTCACTGTCATTTTTTAATTTCAATGGATTGGGAGTTTATGTCAAAAATTAAACAACTGTATTATATTTAAATATTAAAATAATTATATTACAGTGTTATTTCACATTAAAATAGATTTATTTTTCATAATATTATACTGGTATAAAATATTATTTATGTAAATGTGTTTTTATAAAAAACCGCATTATGATTACAATAGTTTATTAATGTTTATACTGTATGATTTTTAAATAATAAATAATAAGTACATAAAGGTTATTTTGGATTAATAAAAATATACATTGTCTTCGGTATTGTTTTATGTATTTAGATGAACGAAATTTTCTTTTGAAATTGATTTAAACTAAACAAAAGTAAATTTAGTTGTTAAATATTGAATTATATTTAATATATTTTTATATTTATATATATTAAGAACTTTGACATTATATATTATACAAACCATAAATAAAAACGACTGATTTTTGTTGTTTTAAATAGTAATGTAATCTCGAAAACTAATTTAAAATTCTTGATAATTCATTATTAAGATTCATTTTTAATAAACAAGTAGGTATTTTAGTATATATATATATATATATATATATATATATGTTCATAGAAAACGTCAGTTTATACTGTTTATACAGTATACATATGAATATGTAATATACTATAACATAACATATTGCTATTCATGTTGTTGAAGAATTTCAAAACTTATACTATTCTATTGTATTAATTGTATTTAATAATTATGCAATAATATTGCTAAATATTTGCATTGTTTATGGTGAAGTTCCGAAATCGTTTAAAAAATTCTTTTTTTCATATAAACAAGCATGCTAAAGACCAATAGCTATTATCTAGAGTTATATATTATATAAAGTACATTTTGTATCTTAGTTTACTGATACGTTTTTATTTATACATAGTCCTATGAATATTTCATTTTAATTCGTTTATTATCCTGAGAAAAGAAAATGTGATTGTTTGAAACGGTGTGCCGGGGTTACTGACCTAACCCGGACCTTTATATAAATGTACACGAAATAAATATCAAGTTATTTATTTAACATTAAATAAAAGTAATACGATTAATTAAATAAAATTACTCCGGGCTGCGTGGCTGGCTCGAATAAGCGGTCGCGGCGGGCGGTATCGGATCTGAGCAGGTGCGATAGAGAATTGGATACACGGTCAACAGCAGACTTAAGTCAGCAAGCGTATCGAACGTGATCACTTTTACCAGCGGACATTTGTGCAAGTGCGCTGGAATGGTTTTTACGGATATTGGCCCTGAAAAAGGTCGTTTTTAGTGTCGACGAATATGTCCATGAATCGCGGAGTCCTGCGTGTAAATGCCGCTGGAGCCGGATTCGTGTTTGTTTTTCACGGCCGTGGTTGCCGCAGTCACTTTGTAGTCTTCGAGGTAGCCGTGAACGCCGCAATTGCCTTCGTTGTATTCGCCGTTGTCATCGTAATCTCTGCAACAGTCGTCGTCGTAATTGCCATCGGGTGCTTTTATTCTACTTATCTTTTGGATGTTGATCGTTGTGAATAAAAGAATGGAGTTCCAATGTTTGCTTTGCTTTGGGAGAGTAGCTATGCCGTGAACTATTCCAGGCTTGCGCCTCTACTAGAGGTGGGAAATTATCGGAGATGGTAAAGATTAGTTTGGTTGGTGTATCCAATCGAGTGGGTAAGGTTTGAGTAGTTGGTTGGTGATTGGAGGGGAGTGCATTTTTCCTAGGAGGCGGATGTAGTCATGGTCAGAGAAGGAGTTTTTGCAAAACATCGTTTTGGATTGAGAGTGAACGGAGTGTTTGATCGATTTAATGTTTGCAGATTTAAGAAAGACCGAATTTTTGACGATGGTGGGCATACCTGTTATCGTACGGATGCCGATGTTTTGGACGGATTCAATGCGTCTCCAGAGACTGAGACCGATAAAAGGTGTCCAGGAAGAGCCTGAATATGTGAGAATAGGAGAGACGTAGAGTTTGAATATGTTAAATTTTGTTTTGATTGGGATGGGGCTAGTTCAGTTTAGTATGGGGTAAAGCATTCCACGTATGCGGGTAGCCTTTTTAGTTATGTTTTGGACATGTTGTCCGAAAGTGAGTTTGCGCCCGATAGTGACGCCAAGATATTAAGTTTGTTTGGACCAGTTTACGGTTTGGTTATCGAGTGTAAGTTTCAGTATGTGTGTTGTGTTTGTTCGTCCGAAAATAACACCTACTACAGTTTTGAATGAGTTAATTTTAATGCGCCATCTGTGAAACCAGGTTATTACGTTGTCGAGTTGGTGTTGTAGTTGTCTGGCTGCACGTTTAGGGTTTTTGTCTGTGGAAAGGAACATTGTATTATTGGCGAATAACGAGAGAGATGCTTTGAAGGTCATTGGAATATCGTTGATGTAAGTCAAATAAATAGTCGGGAAAATACAGGAACCTTGGAAGACACCTGCGTATGGAGTATCGATGCTCCGAAGTGACCGGTATATATACCCAATCGGACATCGACGCTCCATTCTTATTGGTCGAATTTTTATCTATCCAGCCGACGATGTAAAACGACATTATTCCTCCGCTGTATTGGTTGCCTTCATGCCATTTTACATCATCACAATGTTGTTCTTGGTGGCCCTGAAAAGGGTCGTTTTTGTCTGAGTATGTGCTCCGTTACATGTTTTTAGCATTTTATTAAAATAAAGGTCCAAGTAGTGTCTAATTATCTATGGATACAATTTTAAAAATGAAATATATTTATAATAAAAATACAAAATGTTTATTTATATATTTACAAATAAGATAATAGAATTGTTCATGCATAACTTATCACAAATATTGTGACAAATTAAAATATATTACAATATATAAACAGAAAATCAATTTTATTGGTATATCATCGAGAAAACAGTACCTAATACTAAAATAAAAATCTTGTTCCTCCATCAATATATATTTTTCATTATAATATAGGAATTAAATATTCATAAAGAAATGAAAGGCAAAACTGTTGTGCAATTACTTAACATTTTTGAATTTAAATACTTTAATAACTTTTAATTTTAATCATGTTTAATATAATTTAATAATGCTAAATTTTATATCATATTTTGTATGATGTTTGACCCTGTCATGACCTTTTAATGTAAGTCAAAATTTTCAAAACATTATATTTAGTATTTACACTTAGACGAATGAATTAAATAGAAATATATAAAATAGAATGAACTAAATAGCCTAAAGACTAAAGAAAATGATTTTCTAATTAATATATCAACATTTCTGTTTTTTAACATATATATTAAATTTTTGAGTTCTTCCAACATTGAAAAATACTCGAAGTCTTGAATAATGAGTACTATTATAGTTCCTTTAGCTTTTCTAAATATTGTTTTATAAGTAAAAAACAATAGCTTAATATACTAAATTGCACACAAATAATAGATAACATATAGTTCAAAATATTTAGTAATTTATTTTATCAGTTACTAAACATTTTTAAGTTTTGTTCTCATAGGTATCACGTTAATAGATAAATATATGCATTTAATTAAGTAATTTTTATTAGCTTAATGTAACTAATAAAAATATTTTGATTTTATTTCTTGACAATTATTTTGGTTTGAATTTTTCTCAATATCGAAATTTACTTCATTAGTGTTAGAGAATGTATCTATTTAATAAAACGAGTTCCTTAGTGTTTCGCTGTCAATGAAATTTTACAATTGTAATGGTTATCAGTAGGGCCCGGATTTCAATGCAAAGTGCATAAGTTTTTGGTTGATCATACACAATGCTCTCTAGGAACATAATTTGTTTCATGTAACGAGGGTTTCAAAACTTCAAATTTTATTTTGCATATTTTGACGTTTTATCATTTTTAGAGCATTTTTAGTATTTTTGGGTCATTTTGTTGGTTTTTAATGCATATTTGTTCGATATACTAAACAAATTTAGCCTATTCAAAATAACATCAAAAGACAAATTATTTTCTTGATATTTAAATAGGTTTATCGGGTTTTTCCATACTCATTGTCAATCTTTATTTTTCAATTCAGTTTTTATCTTATCTTAATTTATTATAGACTATGGAACGTCACCAGTATTTGGTCTAATAACAAATAATTAGTCAGTTAATATTACATCGAAGACGTTGCTCGTATTACGTGTGTTTGTCATTTTAATGTATTAAATAGTGTGTTGGATAATGTCTAAAATAAAAAAAAAAAATATGTAATTTTTATGGTAAAATTCATTTTTTAAGGACATTTTCGACTATTTTTTAGAGCATACGAATATTTGTATGGTTTTAAGTACATTTAAATCCGGGCCCTAGTTATCAGTAATTGAAGTTAAAATAATTCAGAAAAACACCGACGATTTACTTGAAAAATTATGTACAATATCCACCGATACTAAATAATATTTTCAAGGAAACTTAAATCAATCAAAAGTTCTCAGATATTTTGCTCGATTATTTATTTATTCTCACCAAACTGTTTTATTTTAATCAAAATTGGAGTTTGGAAAACTTCGTGGGTCATAAACTATTAAAACAGAGTATCCGGTGTCTGTGGTACATAAGTTCTCGTTTTATTTATAAAACTTTCAAATTATTCTCAGATCGACTAAAGAGCGATATTATAATGCCGGTAGTACACATTCATCGAGATAGTCTCGGTGAAACTCTCGGAGAGAATTAAGG